GTTCAGCATCTCAGACCTGCAACAAGCAGCCAAGGGCCAGAGCTATCGCGTGGCTTCACCTGGCAGGGGGGAGATGGGGTGTCTTTACAGTGCTGCTCCAACAGGCCAGGCAAGCCCCCCCGCTCACCAGTGGGCTCCTGGTCTGCTGACCCGAATGGAAAACACATAGCCCAGGTTCCCATGCCGGTCTGAGCTGGTGGGACGAGTCTGAAGATGTGTTTTTACAGCCTCGGATCAACGCACCCTGCCAAGCAATGCTCGGAAACACAAGTTATTTACTAAAATCATCATTTTAAAATAACTAAGGCAGCAAAATCACAGCACACCCCGCTGAACTGCAAGCAAGGTGCAAAGCTTATACTAAGGAACCTTTCACAGCAACATCACCTTTCTGTGGCTAATAACCTGATGATGTTATCATGATAACCATTCCTCTAGCTGGGAAAGGCAGTCTGAAATTAGGCTGAACTCACACAGAGGTAAAATATGACCTGCAAACACTTCCTGTTGGGAAAAACCTAAAACTTTTTAAAAAACACAATGGTATTTCTGCAGCAAGGTAGGAAAGGCATTTTCTCCAAAAATGCAAACTTGTGACTTCCTGACATGCAAGGATTTTGTTCTGCCTTTCGAGGGAGCTATGATCCCTGCACACGAGAGCTCCTTCCCCCTCCATCACTCAAATTCATTTCAAATAAGACACCAAAAGTGTACAAAGGGCCCAAAGAAAGACGAGGCATGGTGCTTCGTCTGGATGCCACAGCAAGGACACTGCTGCAGTAGGAGAGTCCAAGCTACTGATATTTCAGTTTAAGATGACAAATATGCATAGCTTTGCATAGTTTCTCTATGTTTCTTCAGCCACCACAGGAATTTCATAAGAGTTTTTCCACATGGACTGAGGGCACATCACAAGATCTGATATTAATTCTGTGAACCTGTGGCACAACGTATTCAGACCAAAAAAGGCTGCATTCTCATAGTTTGTGTAATTTATACCATAAAAATTAATGTGCTAAGTACTTAGAAACTTTTCCCCAAGATTATCAGCTCATAATTGCTCTGCAAGACTCAAGCATGCATGCTGAATTTCAGGTGCATTGGGAAGATGGACTTGGAAAGCTCACAGGGTTACAAGTGCAACAACGGAAAAAGCTGCTTATCCCTCCATGAGACCTTCCATGCCTGCCATTTATGAAATTTTATCTGCACTTTAATTCTCAGGTAAAACAAATTACAATTTGTATCTTCTCTGCAGAGCAGCTAATGGTGGCGATCCCACTTCCATGGCCTTGAGAAACAGAGGTATTCAGCGGGGTATAATGTGAAAGGAAACCTCCACGTTCTGGTTTCAGGCGTGCTCCAGAGATAATGCAAGCAGTGAAACCTTTCCTATAATTTAGCTGGGCTTCAAGAGCATTGCACAATATTTTCATCAGTTTCTGAACAGTGAGGCATCACTAGCGTTGACAGGGAGAGAACAAAAGGTTAAATTACCACCGCTCAGCTATGGCTCCTCTAGCAAAGGCAGGTACACCATGCAACTTCCCCACAAAGTGTTATGATTAACAGGTGTTACACAAAAGAAAAACTGGGTAAAAGCTATTTAGATGTAAATTAGATGATGTTTCCATAGCAAGCAACAGTCTGATGCAAATGTGAAATGATAAAGGTACAGAAGTGTATATTGATGGCCACTAGCTTCTGCTCAGCTGTCATCTATTAAAATACAAACTAATATTGAAATCAGTACCTAAGACAAGGTGACCACGAATGGGGGAAGAATAGATGCATTAAGCAGATTAAAAAGCTGCAAACAACCAAAAAGGAAAAAAAAAACCCCAACCAGCAAGAGTACTCCTCATTCTCCGGGGTAACAACGCTGGTTTCTTTGTACATGGTCCCTCCCCAACACACAACCCCCACCTAGCCACCCTGTATCTCGTGAACCACGCCAGCCAGGAGCGGTTTGCATGCGAGCAATGCCTGCCCAAGGGGAACAGCACCCACCAGCATACACCCACGTGAGTGGGCAGCACGTGCCTGCAGAAATGGCTTTCTTCTATATTTCTGTTGTGTCTGCAGGCAGGAAAATGCTAGTGAGGAGAGAGAAGGGTGTTGAGGACACAGAGGATGAGGAAACAGAAGTATGCTGCTAAGGAGGAGTGGGCAGCAGAAAGGCAGCAGTCGTAGGTCACAACACTGTGGGGTCAGGCAGGGGCAGGGTGGCCAGGGGGAAGGGGGACGTGGATGTGAAGCACTGCAGAGGGAACTGGCAGCAAACAGACTTTCAGAAGAACTACAAGACAGGAGATAAAAGCAGGAGGGATGCTCCTGCAGCAGTCGTAGGCACGACAAAGTGGGGACCTGGGAAGGGATGACAGCAGTTGGCACAGGGCTGTTCAAACACAGCGAGGGAGCAAAGCCAGCCCTCCTGTGTGAGCTGGGCAAACCCTGCAGACCATCTCGCAGTGGGTATTGCGCCGCCAGGATGGGGATGCGCTTCCCTGTCTTACAGGGTGTTGCAAGGCTGAAAATACAGCCATGACTGGTAACACAGCCAATACTCTGGTATTGCAGTTGTTGTTGGCCATAACACCCCACCACTTGCACACCATAGCAGAGGACAAGCTGTGCATCTGTGTCATGCTTTCCTCATTCTCTCTCTCGTTCTCTCTCTGCTATTTCCAAACAAAATACTCAAAAAAATTCATCCAACTGGAAATTTTAATCCACACAAACTACACTGTTTAGTAAATTATAAGCACTATTATATAAGCTTGTTGAAATAAGATTTGTGTACATTTAAAGAACATCGACTGCATTTTAACAAACATACTTAACTTGTCCAAGTGTGACCTGAACGAGTTACCTGAAGCCATTTAACCACTAGCACAGAGGGAGCGAGATACTAAATAAACGGGTAAGAAGTCTGCCCACCTGTCTGCAGCTTTAGTGCCACAGGTCAGCCAAGCTGTGAAAACGGCCTCCGGAGCACGTGCTAACAAATGAGCACCAGCAGGGAGAAAATAGGTAAGGACATACCCGTCTGGTGCTGAGCTGACCACGGGCTCCTCCAGCACCGCAGGAGGGTTTGGTGATAGCAGCGTGGAGTCCTCTGCAGCATGGTCATCCCTGCCCCGCTCCCAGCCGTCTGCTGGCACACCAAGAGCACTCAGCATTGCCTCCTCGGTGCTTGTGGGGACCGGGAGCTCAAAACTGCTCACCCCGCTTGCCTCCTTACAAGTCCACCAGTTACTCAGGAAAGGCTCTGGTCCTGTAAAAAATAAGAAATTAAAATAAAGTTACTCCCAAAACATTAGTAGGACCAAGAAATACATCATAGCACATGGAATTAAACCCGAGTGACCTACGCTGTGTGTTCATCTCTTTCACTTCCCATGCATGAGTGAGCATCCCTCCACTCTCCCCTCAATTTGGGTTTCCCTGCCCACGGCCCAGTGTCCTTCTGTGCTCCTCTCGCAAGGGGGAGTCTGGGGAGGCTCCAGCCTCCATGCTCACGCCTTTTCGGTTTGCACCTCCTGGCGGGTAGGAGACAAACCCAGCACTCCTCAGAAACCATCACTGGCATGAAGACAGCTATTTACTAAATCGTCTCTGGAGGAAGGATGAAACACAAAAGCTGGAAAAAGCTTTTCCTGGGGGGGGGAAAAAAGTACACCTGAAGTGGCTACTATAGTACACAATTTTTTAAACCTTGCAGAAGAAATACATGCCTGGAGGCTTTTAAACTCTGCATGTTAATTGTCTTGTCTAAAAGAGGAGAGCACAGTGCTGAACCATGCTTCTAAGATGACAGATACATGCTACTTATCTTTTCACAGAATGCCAAAAGTTAATGGACCAGCTAGTGCTGTAACAAATTAGTATTGCTACAGAAATTCACAGTTTTCCCAAAAATTCACCACGGGTTTAAACTGAGCAGCACTCACACACCTGCTAATGCTACAGCACTAGCATTTCTACTTGTCTTGGTCACGGAGTTTCACTGGAACCAAATCACTTCAGGATTAAGCCAAACAGTAGCTGGTGCCAGGATGGGCTCTCTCAGCTTTGTTTCCAAATTTGCAATGAAAGTACACGCAACAGAAATCACTGCACTTGCTGGGAAACGGAGATGGGGATGAGGGGAGTTTTGTTCTCCAGTTTAAATTGGGGGAGGAAGGGGCCATTTTTTTCCTTCATTAACCTGGGGGAAATGGAATTTGTTCCTTGCTACATTTTGTGCTGCTGAGTGGCAGCCAGGGAGTAGCAGGAGAGGCTGGCGAGTGCTGCTCTGCACCGAGCCCGCAGCACAGCCCAGCACGTGCTCACTACTGGTGTGGCACAGCCAAGTGTCTTCCTCCGCTGCCGTCATTTGCAGCGTGGAAGGTCAAGCTTAGGAGAGCTGGAACAAGCCAGTCCCCTCCGCACATTCAAACCTGGACCGCATTAGCCTGTTCATTTTGCAGCACGCATTTGGCAGCAGAGAGACATAAAAAGCCCTCTGGGCAGTCCGGGGAGATTACTGTGCTGTTCGACCAAAAGATCATTCTTATTTTGAACACAACTGTACAGCTTCTCTGAAGGCAGAGATATCGCATTCCAGAAATTAAATGGGTATTTCTTTCCCAGACACGATGCTGGCCGCCTCAGCCTTCCCTACAGGGAAGAGCTGCAGGCAGAGCCCAGGGCTAACATAAGCCAGGCTGGACTGCTCTCCTTCCAGTGCCAGAAAGGACAGGCTTTCATTAAAACAGAGAAGTGGCAAATGCATCAGATGAAAGGAAAGGAGAGGCAAACGGAAAAGAGAAAGAAATTAAAAAAAAAAAAACCTGAAGAAAGAGGATGTCAGGAAAACCCCAAAAGTCACATAGAAGAGCATCCGATGGGGTTGCCAGCTTTCCTCTATAAAGAAACCACAATTGTTACTGGAGAGCAGGAGTCTCTGCATCATTAGGGTTGCCACCAGTTTCCATTAAAAATGGCTCCATTTTAGCTATTGTTGTGGGGCTTGGAAAACTAGTTTAAGTTGAAAATCGCTATGTTAACTGGCAAGGCACAGGAGAATATTTTTGCAAGGTCTTTAAAAAGGAAGTAATTGTTACTTAACAACACATCTTTGTCACTGCAACTTCAAAAACAAGTCAATTAGCTTACTTCAAAGTAACCAACCAAGCCAGTAAAACCGGAGAGAACACATTTCGCCAAGATGGGGGGGAGGAAAAAAAAAAAGAAAAAATAAAAAGGAATGAGAAGTTGTAACGTGGCCTTTGAGGGCAGCACATCTCATCCCAGAGCAAGAGCAACTGCGCTGTGAGGGTCTGTGCCACTTTCCTCAGGGAAGTTCAGAACAAGGCAGAGCACCACCACCAAGGAGGAGTTCATCCAGTCGCATGCGGGGACATACTGATCCTCCGTCTACATGGACAAATCCTGGCTTTGGCAATGGATGAACTCTGCTGCACAAGCATCTCAGGAAGAAGGAACTCAACCTGAAACAGCAGTAATGTCAATGCAGTAGGTTCACATTAAATCTCTCAAAATGAGGCTCAAACTACTTCAAGACAACTGTGGGCACAGAAGTGAAGAAATCCTCACTTTCTAACAACAAATCTGAACAGGCATGGCCCCCAGCAAACCCTTGGCTGCCCAGATGAGTGCCCTGGGAGGAAACAAAGTCAAAATAAAAAAAAAAAAAAAAAAAAGAGGAAAAGAAGGGAAAAAATGCTGGTATGCTTCAACCAGAGTGCCACATGCAGAGGGGAAAGCAGCAGCCGTGGGCATTGCTCTGGTTGGGATGAGTGTGCCTCAGCACCAAGCAGAGGGAGACAAGCACATGTCCTGCCACACCTGGGATGCTTCCCCGCAGTCGTTCCTCCTCGGGGGTGGCTGGTGTGGGATCAGATGCTGAGGAGATGAGCTGCTCGGAGTCTTCCTCACTAGCAGACAGGTCCCTGTGTCTCTCTGCTCCCTCCACTGATGCATCACTCTCTAAATCAGCGCTTCTGCTCTCTGGACCAAGTTCTTCAAGCGGTAGAGAGCACGAAGGCAGGTTGGGCGCTGAGCGGCTCTCTGTGGGCTGGGAGGACTTCTGCTGCGTGCCCAAACCTGCAGCGGCTGAGACGGCTGATGTGTGGCGACCCATAAAGACTGCTGCTGGATGATACAGTCCTTTTGGCACAGCTGCCTCGGTGCCGACGCCTGCCTGTCTTGCAGCCCTCAGCATCTGAAAAACACAAGTGTGAGACGGCTTAAGGGAACAAACGGGCAGCATGGTGCAACTGGAGCTTTTAGAAGATCGCACGTTGGTTTCTGGAGAGAAAAAAGCATCACAGAATTTAAGTATTTTCTATAGTATTATTATTATTAAACACTTGTCATGCATTTCTTGCATCATAATGTAAACTGACTTCAACTGAAGCTCTGTGAGCCGCAACAACCAGTTGGGTTGCACCCCCAACCCAACTAAACAGGACTGAAATACACAAAGGACTAACTAATCTAAACAGTAATGGGTTTTTAGAAACAGGTAAGCTTTTAAGCTCAGATTCCTGTAAAGGCTTTTAAGACCCTGCACCAAAGCACGACATTTAGAAGTCACTGAAAACACCTTGAAGTTATGACTCCAGGGGAACCACTGTGCTGAACTTGTGCAGGACTCTGCACAGCCACTGTGCTTTAGGAACCACAGCATTCTGAAGCCAAGACACGATCATTAGGACGCCATTGCAGTGTCCACAGCCCAACTGGCCTTGCTGGAGCCACCCACAGCAGCTGCTCTGAGCAATCTCCTCCTGCTGCTGCTCCTCTCATGGTTGTCTCTAGAAGGCAAGGGGATAAGGAAAAGTCCCCAGGGAGTTTGAAATGTATATCTGCCACTGCTTACTCATCTATCTATCCAGCTTTGCTCACAGCATGTCAACAAAGCAAATAAGAAAGAAGCAAAAATCACTTTATTCATTGTCTTGCTTCTGCTCTTTCCTGTCTGTTAAATCACACTAAAGAGGAAGAATGACTGCTCAGCTAACACCATGTAGGTGAAATCACATTTTCCACTAGGCAACTTGGGGCACCAAGCAGAAACATTCTAAATGGTACTTTCCTCTGAGAACTGTTGAACTTGCATAAAAATAGTTCCAACAGTATAACCACTCTGCTTCTAAAGCCCAGTGTTTTAATACTTGCCTTTTTCTCTTTGTAAATCTACTCAATCAGAGCAATTTAGGAGGAGGGGCTACTGCCACCACTACTACTAAAAGGTCACTGCCAGTTTATGCAAAGCCAAAATTAGCTATCATAATACCATTGTTCCTACTAAGCAGGGCTTACTTTTCAGCCCCGAATCACAGCAGGACAATTTACAGTCACCTCCACACCTCTCCTCTCTTTCATTGCCTGACCTCTTCCTACCATACAAAGTCAGCTGCCAAACCCAGCTTAAAGGGAACAAAGGCAACTTGTCTAGTCCGTGACCAAGTTTCATTAAAAAAGCTCAAATTCCACGTAACAAGAAGCAGAACAAAAAGCCATTAAGTTATTTTAAGAAGGAGTAAAGGTTTGCTATTCAGATTAAGTTCACAGCTTATTCCACCACCGCTGCTCTCAGGTTCCTCCTAATTACTTTTCGGGTCTTGGATTTGCTGCTTTAAAATGCACCTAGCAAGTACTTTATGGCCTTAGCAGCTCCTGGATGTAGTGTTCCAAAACAAATGCAATTGAAACAGGTACAAGTGCCTGGCAGACACACAGCAGACACACATCTCTAACAAGCTCTTTGCAGAAAAAAACCCAAATCTCTTCACTGCCTTTGCATTCTCAAGGCAAAAGTATCACAGATAACACTGGTCTAGGTACTGTTTTTACCACCAAGAACAAAACAGTGAAAACGCTCAGATGAGTTACCTAAACAGTCAACAAAATTACTGAATTTCATGTCACTCCAGCTGGGAGTTAAACGAAGTCTCTGCACAAAGCACACTTACAATCCTCTTTGTGGCTGTGGAGTGCAGGCTCCCCACTTCTTCCTCCAGTAGCAAATATAATTTTTTTATTAACATTAAAGTGTTTTGAAGAGAACAAAGATAAAAAAATCCCTTCCATTAGGACTTAAAGGGCCCAGTCTCCACCAGCAGTAGACCACCAGGAGAAAGCCAGGGAGGGAAGTCGAGGCAGAGGTTGGTCTCTTGCAGGCACCAGATGCTGCTCTTGCCGGGGGACACCCTATTTCCCAGGGAAGGATGCTTGGCCACCCACGAGTGTGCCTGGAAGGTGCCCTACAGCCCACAGACACAGCAGTGCCACGATGCACAAGTCCAAAGTCTTCACAAGACTTCGGGAAAGTGCTTTGAAGCTGAAGCAGCCAGACATCATCGCACAAAGGTCTCAGAAGCCCAGGGTACATAGCTCTGCGAGCCGAGAAGGACCTCTTCAGTACGGGACCTCTCCTCCAACTTGTAACACCGGACTGCCGCTACACTGGGCTTCAGAAGACTGCTGCTCAAGTCCCTTCCATGGAGAATCCTGCTTTTCTAGACAAACACTGTTTGGGTGTATGATTTCAGAGCTTAAAGACTCCCATAAAAATTGAGAGTCTGAAAGGGTACATATCCCCACGGCTGAGAGAAGTACCAGATATCCACACTGGTGTTTCAGGGGTGTTGGGACACTGACCACCTCTAGAAGATTGCTTCTGTGATTGACCTTCTTGGTCTCCCAGATTCATCACTGATTAAGTTGTCACACGATCACTGGCATCCTGACTAGCCTGAAGGAAACCATTACAATACCAGTGCTGGCAAATAAAACCAGTTCCAAGCTGTGATGATCTGCATCCTGGATTTACCACCCGCTAACCGCACATGCTTGCTATGACTCACTCGGTGCCACAACACCGAGAGCAAACTCTCCTATTTTGGAGATAAGAATAAGCAGATTTTAAGTGAGGTCAAGGTGGTGGCAAACAGGTACAATGAGTCCAGAAAAAAAAATGGACTTACAGAATAAGAACTGAGACACAGCACATAGACGAGGCAAAAGGATGTACAATTTACTTGAAGCTACCTTTGTATTTATGGAGGGAGATGAGAAGGAGAAAGAAGGGGACGGGGAGGAAAGAGAGCAGAACCAAGCTATTAACTGTAACTCAACATAAAGTGACATATTTGGGTACACACCAAGTTCTTGTACTGTCCAAACCCTGCTAACAGTTTTTAAAAATTTAAGTCACACCATGAGCCTTTGATGTTCTAGAATTTATTTCTAACCTATGGAAAAGATGACATGATGGCTCCTACACTGACTGCTTTTAATTGAAGAAACTCACCTTTTCACATACAAACAGAATTTGCAAACTGCTGGAGGCCTGCTTATATAGGTCAAGGTTGCTCAGGTTCATTGCTTTGTACATTACAGTTTAAAGAAGGCTCTAAATTCAAGGTTTTTAACTTTTTAATCTATGGGGAAAACTTCCTATAAACTCAGATTAACGACTGCTAATGCACTGAAGAAAGAAAACCAAAAACCTTCCTCCTACTATAAAAACAAAATAGTGTGGCCTCTGTTTCTTTTCTGATAAGAGTCTTAAATACCAAACATTTAACTGCATAATAACATTTACTGGCAGCCAGGCAGCCTGCTTAGCAGATATATAAAGCAGGTAAAAGGAGAAAAAGTTAATTTCTTGGCTGAATGATTCCATCGGTAGCTATAGGGCAAACTAGAAAGTCTTTTAGTAAAGTAGCAGTTGATTCTTCTATCAATCTGCAGCACACATACTCTTCCAAGGAATGCATTAAATATGAAAATCATATCCCGTTATCATCTGTTTCCAGCTTTCAGCCCAGTAAGCTTTTCTTAATGAATGCTGTAGCCTAAGGGACAAGCATGCTGTTGGCTTCTCTGAATAATGGAGTGATGCTCCCATTTCTGCTTATTACAATATCGACTAGCTGAGGGGGTTTCACACATAGTCACAAGTGACTACTCTTGCCAGCATGCTCCAAGTTATTACAAGATGTTTTTAGACATTTCATCTAAAAGAGCTTTACTGCTTTTAGTGAAGAAAACAGCTATGGTCTTGAACTGTATCATTTATATGGAGATAGGAGGAGGGATTAGAAGCCTGCATTACTGCAGATATACAGCAGAATATATTTAAGTATTCCTTGTCAGTCTTTTTGTCTGTGACTTAGATATGCAATCTCTTTTTGCTTCTTCTGAGAAAAGGTCAAAACGCACAAAATTATAAATACACCCTATGAATTGACTGCCGCATTTTTAAGAATATCATTCATTAAGAATATTTCCTCCTCAGTCAAGACCATTTTCACAGTATTCATCACAGGAATTATAAAAACCAACACGAAGCTGAGTATCAACATTTAGAGTTCTAACCTTTTTTTAAATTCTAGTTCTTCAGTTGAAATATTTGCACTTTTTTCCCAGCTTATTCTACTTCACTCAGGCTCTAAACAATATTTCACACTACAAATACCACAACCCAAATCCCCACGCAAAGACTGCTCAGCAATGCCTGCCTCTTCATGCAGCAGCTCAGAGGAAAGCACATCAATGCAATAAAACACATTTCCACCCCACTTCTTTCGCATTACCTGCTCCTTGGATGCTTCTTCCTTGTCACCTTCTGCTGACAAGTTACCCTCTTGAAGTGATAACACACTTTTAATTTCTCTTCTGTAGCATGCCTAAACATGAACAAATCTACTACATAAAACTGAAGGCCAAAAAAACCCCACACCACAAATCAACAAATATTACTTTGCCCTAGCAGCATTTTTCACTTGGACTACATTTAAAAAGCCAGAGATCCCCTTTTCTCCTAATTTTTCTGCTCCTCTGAACAAATGCCGTGGCCTGCATACAATCGTCTGCAGGTTTTCAATACATTTATTCATTCACCTGATTTAGAATCCTACAAAATAGTCATAACTTGTTGCCTCAAATTTATTTCGTCCCAACTACTTATTTGTAACCCCAAATTATTTCTGCCGTATCCAGACAATGACTCTGCTGCTTTGGGATGAAACAGGCTTTACAATTTGTTTTTGTTTTACGTACATCATCTTACAACTCATGGAGCTATTATCAGGAAAAATCTATGGCAGATGTTACAAAGAGCAGCCCAGCATGAAAGGCAACGTGCTGCAGTGTTACTAACAAACAACTGCACAAACCATCTTCACCTCCACTACACTGTTTAATTGACCAAATGTAATGCATTCATCGTAGGACTACTGCTTCAAAGCCAAGCACACGCAGCACCTATAATTAATCCTGTTTGTTAGTAATTGTAAACCCCAGTAACAAGTTACGTCGGCCCTGAATGAAAGCACTTCAACCCTGATTCTGCGTCAGGTAATATGCATGAAAATAAATCTTTAAAACAATTAACCAGCTCTGGACTTCACTCCGATGGTGCTTTCAGCAAGTCTGCTATTTCCCAGGTAATAGAACCCGTTCATAAAATTGTAAACATTAAATTTTAAGAAACAAAAACTAACCACATGAGAACTAAAAATGCTCAAAGTGAACTCAAATATAACTACTGTATTTTCCTGAAAGCCTAAGCAAACTTACACTCACAAAAATTACTGAGCAAACTGCAGACACAGAACACAGGAAGAAAAGTGAATCTTTCAAAACCAGAAGTTTTGTCAGCTACAGCCGCATAATAAACCGCACATACAGTCATGATAAAGCACTCCTAAAGGGTAGCCTCTCTCCGTCAAAAAAAAAAAAAAGAGAAAATAGTAATAATTTCTTTCTGTGTAGTTCCACGATAGATTAAATGATTTCATGCTCCATAATTCTTATGCAATCCACAACAAGGGAGCTTTTCATAACAGTAGCACAGAGGATATGTAATCTGTGCTTTGTTCAACAGCTCAGAGAGGAAGAGGAGAAAAAAAAAAAAAAAAGAGTCTAACCTGGCAAAAATAAAATGGATGGCATAGAAACATCAAAATGGAAGCACAACTGTGACTCACACCAATACATTACAACAACCCACCACGAGTCAAACTGGTGTGCATTAGGGCTGCTATGAATAAAAATCCTTAAAACCAACAGGGGAAACCTGGCATCACAACATACCCCTGACCCTGATCTGCTTTAAAAAAAAAAAAATTAAGAAAATAAGAAGATAAGGGGGGAATCACACACACACCCCCAGGGACAGTCTTTACACGATGATCTGTGAATGTCACCAGACGCAACAGGCTTAAAGAATTACTGAGCAGTAGCTGGGCTTTAGCTGTGTGAGGAGTTTATTAACGTGGGCATGCAGCCGTGGGATGCTAGCCAGCCCACTGGTGTATTACAGTGGAAATCAATTGCCACCACGAGAGATCTCTGCATCTTTTCCAAAGAGCCTCCCCTTCTTCCCCAGGCCCGGGGACCAGCTCACCCCCCCAAATCACCTGCTCTGCACACCCAAGTCCAGGACAGCACCTCCCAAACGGGAAAGGGACTTTCAAACCCATTGGCGTTCCAGAGGGAGCGTTAAACAACGCAAACGGGTCTCATCACCCCATCCCAGATACAATACGTAGCAATCTTGAGAAAAGCCATGACTGGGGCTACATACTGTGATACGAATGACAGCAGGCAGGGCTAATGCACTGCTAGTTACAGCTAACGTGGGGAGAGTTGTTTGGGGCCAGCTAGTCACTGTTGTACTTATTAAAAAAAAAAACACACAAGATTTTTCAATAAAATCAAAGACAACTAATTTAAAAAACAAATTTCTGGGTTTTTTTTTTTTGTTGTTTGGTTCTTTTTAGCTACAGCACAAAATTACTGTATAGGGCTTGCTGTCACATTGTAGTGATTTGACAAAGAGCTTATTAGGATTCAAAATCGACCATACACTGCATTAACATCAACATCCATAGTTAAGAGGAGCAAAGATTTTTAGCAAGGACAAAGGCTCACATTTCAGGTCATACCTTTATCTACTGAAAGAAAGGAACTTTTCTAACGTAAGAACTGCACACAAAGGGCTTCCTGCCCTTTACCATGACGCACATAGTGAAAGCCAAACCAGACAGTATGAAAAAAAAATACAAAATACATTGCTGCTTCTACCTCCCTACTTCAGGCTAAGATTTAATAACACTTCCTAGTGCAGTGTTCCCAGAGTATATTAAAAGTTTCAAAAAAATGTTTTAAAGTAAGGTTTGCTTGTTTGTTTTCTAACTTCTACATAATTTTCTACTTTTCCCTCTTCTCCCCCTGTTTGTATGTTGCAATCCAATTCTGACTCCATATATTAATGGCATGAGGATGTCACAATTTTATTTTTTTAAATCCAAGATCATTACCAAACTATATTACTTTGCAACATCCCAAATTGTTCTCCAGTTAACAGCAAGACAACATATTAATAATATGATTCAAAAACTCTCAATTCTCTATTAAACTGAAAGTACTTCAGTTGCAAGTTATGAATAAAAAAAACATCCTATTATATAACCTTAAACACAGATCCTGATCTGGTTTGTTTCAAACACTAAGGTAAGACATGCAGGAATCTCTTTACTAGTATAGAAGAGTTTCATCTTATTCCTGCACTAGTTATAAAAAAGAAATACAAATGTAACTCTTAACCTCGGAACAGAATTACAGGCACATAACACCAAGGAAAAGACTGAAGCCATATACCCCAACAGGGCTAAACAGGAAAAGCAAGAAGTCTGTTCACATTTGCCAATGAGGGTCTGAAAAACTGGAAAACCAAGAGAATAGTCACATTTTACTTCAACGTAAAAAAAAAAAAACCAAAACATGGCAATTCAGGCCTAGTGGTAACTGATCTTTTTATCTCAACACGAATGAAATTACTATAAATGCTTTTGTTACTTCCACCTTTTCTTTTTCCTCCCATACTATTTTAAGATATGAAGGCAGATGGACTACATCCAGGAGGCACAGAAATCCCCATCTCATGGCGAGTTCTATTTATCATGGGGAAAGAGATTCCAGCAGGGGCTTGCCAGAAGACAAACACTTTTCTCCAAAAAGAAAACACTGCTGAGTCAAGGTGAATTTTAACAACTGTTTCCACAACAAGAATTTCAGACCAAAAAACCTGAAAGGGCAGAACATATAGCAGAGGGTGGCCAATGGAGGTGCTGAATGGTCACTTTCATTTGTTCTCAGGAGAGCTTTTATTCTTTCTTTTAAAATGTAATGACCATGCATGGTTTCTACCTGTTGCAGTAATTTTTAATAAATTAGTAGTTTAAAAACAGAACAGGTGTGTACTGGTTCAACAGCGTCTTTCACAAGGATAACTCATTCCAGCACACGTTCTCAAACTGGTGATATTCAGTGAAGTCACTAACGAGACCCCTTCTGCAGATGCAGACCTCTGGGCTGACAGCAGTCAAGGCTATGAGTGGAGAAAGCAAAAGCAGCACGTTTGTGGTCACCTTTGATAACAACGGGGCTACAAAGACAGCAAGGAGTATATTCGACTGGGTATTGGCTCTTTTAAAAGCAGCCATTGGGTACTAACACACTTTACCATGTCCATTATGACACAGAACTCAGGTGTACCCAGTGAAGAAACGCTCCTTGGGCTTTACCAGCCCAGAAGGAAAGTCCAGTAGGGTCTATTACATCATATATTAGCAGCATTTGGGTTCATTACAAATTCCCTAACATTACCGCTTTTAAGCACTCCACTCATATAATGATGTTTCACTAACATCTGGATGTGCATAACACTTGGACAAAACCATTTTAGCAAGCCTGTAACAACAATAAACACTAACGGATTAAGTCTTATAGAAAGTTACTTCCATCTTCTGAATCATCTCTGAACTTGAAGTTTTCATATGAGCTTCCAATTGGTCGAATTGCTTTAACAAGGTCTGGTTTCGCAGAAGAGCTTCTTTTTGTCGTTCATCTATTTCGTTCAAGTACTTTTTCAGCTTCATGTATTTTAGTTTCATTCTACAGAGGAAAACAAAGCAGTACTTAAAGAGTATGAAATTAAAATGTCTATTACAATCACCTTTCTTCAGACACATGGGTACGAACACTTACTGAGGAGTTGCCCCCCACCCCTCCCAAAGGGAGAAGACACATTCTTCTGCACAACTGTCCAAAGCTACATGATACAACTGACAGGATGTCTGCAATGTAACTGCAGATCAAAATGGGGGTTTGGCGTTCAAAAGGATAAGCATGTTAACAAACTCTTGTAAATTTGTTCAAACAGACTATGTTTTAGTCACTTATATCCCATGAAATCAAAATGAAAATTGTATTTTGGAGGACGTGCTGTGAAAGTCACACAAACTGGACCAGTAAGGCTGCAGTTTCACAACTGCTTTAAGCCAACTTAAATCCACACTGCCACCAAAAGGGACATCTCACTCTAAGCCTTTCTTTTTTGTGCTAACACTATCTGTTATGTGGCCACATGGCAAACTAGGCCAAAAG